ATGGCTGCAGCAAACAGCTTATCTGTGGCAATATGCTCTTGAACAATATGCAGCAGCTTTCTAAAGAGTTTTGGTAATTTCATTTCTGCTTCAAAGTGACACAAACTACTGGCAAGTAAGGAAAGAAAAATGTCCTGACTCACTTTAGGCAGAATATGCCGGGTTCATGGGCTGCACAGGGCATCAGTGTAACAGGCTGGGATCTCAGCAAAGCAGCACCTGCACACCTAGATGAGAGCTGCATGTAGAACCTCAAGCTGGAGTGCTTTGCCATGATTATTAGTTATACTGTCTCTGCAGAAAGTTGTAGAGGATGAGGCAGTGCAGGCGAAACCCCAATGAAAAGGCTTTGAGGCTTTGTACACTATTGTGAAACACGCAGAGAACCAGAGAATTTTATTAAGCTGAAAGTAAGGTTTTTCTTTGAGGCTTAGGAGGCATATGGCTACGTTTTTGAGTCAATTTTTGCCATCTAGAGGTGGTTACTTAAAGCCTGTATAATCTAAGCTGGAGGGGATGGAGGTTTACCAATACCCAGCCAGGCAAACTCCCATCCCTGAAGGCTTTACAGTCTGATCCAGACAGGAACAAACAATTACGGACTTGGTTTCAAAGCAGGAAGTGGCCTCAGCAATGGGGAGTGCTAAGCAGATGAAAAAACAATGTAATTTTTATAAGGGATTCAGAGATGAAGTAGATTAGGCTGCTTCTCCTGAGCACTAAATATTTGAAATGTGTTGGGAAATAGAGCACATAAAGGTATATTATGAAACATCAGTGACTGCCCAGCTGCAGTGCTTGGCAGCTTCCAGCATGGACTATATAACAATTAATCTTCAAGACTGTGATCATTTATTGCTTTTCTTCTTTAGCAAGCTAAACGTTGCAGAAACCTACATAGATCGTACCAGCATCAGAGGACAGTTATAAATCCTATAAAAGCCAGAGGCCAGTCTAAAAGCACCTTAGAAGATAATAAAAATTATCTATAGTTAATGGATAACTGTGCTTTCTTCTTTTTCTCCCTCTTTTAGAGGGTTACAACAAAGAGTGTTTCATATAAATTATGCTTATGGACCTCCTAGATAATAAAATACAGAAATCAGATATCTAGGATATGGCACAGCATCGTTTCCTTACTCCTAGAAAATACACATCAGTTAAGTCTATGGGCTTAGTGGCAGAGAAAAATAGAATGGCAGAGACAGAAGCAGGGAATTATCTATCCTATGATTTTTCAATCTGCAGTTGATTCCCAAGATACTAAACTATTTCTATTTTAATATACACAGTAATAAGAAATTATCTTCATTTTACTGGTATGAATCTGAAGCAATGTCATATCAATGGTATTGGGTCAGCAGGCAGCATCTCTCCTTAGTTATGGGTGAGTAACTACACTGGAACAAATGAGTTAATATTAACTAACTGGCAACAGAAAGATGGTTCTCTTCCAAGTATCTCCAAACAAAGACTGATAAAAATCAACAAGATTTAATACCATCCACAACTTCAATTACGTTCTAATGCTCCAAAAGTAAGTGAAAGGCATTTACATGTCAACCCCCATAAATATTTCCAGTTATGACTGAAGCAGCCTCGACTCTTCACATCACCCCAGTAAATCAACAGCATTGAATAGACTGCTATACTACAGACTGTATAAAAACAGGATGAAGTTAAAAAATGCAAACTAAACATGGATCCCAACCCAGAGTCTTCTAGTCTGTAGCCTAGGGTTACATTAATTTTGACCTGCCACTGAGGTTTGTGCTCTGCCAATCTCCTGCACTTGCACTCAGAACAAGGTGTGACTCAGCTGCCAGCTCCAGGTACGAAGTTTTCCTGTGTCCCTGGGTGGAAATGTGGTGCTCTCAGCTGTGCTGCTCTGTTGATCCCACACCTTGCCTTCAGCAACAGAAGGCAGAAGACTTCTGGCCATGGCAAAGACCCAGCTGTCTAAAGATTTCTCTCTGGAAAAACAGCCAATTATCCAGCCATCCCAAAATTGATCTAACTATGCTAACACTGCTTTGATACTTCCAACTCTATAATCTGGAATAAATCACAGGCTTTTTTTTGTTTCAAAAAAGTCTTTAACTAGGTATCAGCACTCAGTTGGGGTAGGGGGTGATATCTGCTGGTTAGTGAATGTGTGGATTTTAATTTGTCATTAATCTCTCCTGGCCACGCTGAACAACAGCAATATTGGAATTTGGGTAGACAAATGAACCTCGATTTCCAAAGAACTGTCTCTTAGTAGGACAACTTCTTGGACACGACACCTGAGATTACCAGTTCTGTACTGTGCTCCTCTTCAAATTGCCTTTGCTTGGTCACTTTAGATTGATTCCCTGTTGGCCAAACATAGTTGAAATGTGAGTAGTAACTTCAAGCAATTAGCAGTCCCTAAGGGAACTTGAAGGGGAAACCCAAGTAGGAAAGACTGAAACATATACACCTTGCTCAGAACAGACAACTACACAGCCTGTTGCACATCAAAGGATCTCAAACCATGAACAGAGATCAATCCTGTCTTGTACTACAAGGCAGAAGCATCCAGAAATACAACAAACTCTGGAGTGACATCTTATCAGGACATCACTGGCACAGAGATTAACCTTTTCCTAACTAGATGATATAGCAGCCTTTCTTACAGTCCAGATGAAGATTTTATTTTACGTAATGTAAGGACAGTACACCACTGCCTTTAGTATTGCTCTGATACAGAGAAAAAGAAAACTGTAGAACAAACTGTTCAGATCTTCCCTTCCTTCTTTCGCTATTCTTTGAAAGTGTCCTTCAATCACAAATTGGTGAAATCTTCACTTAAACTTCTGCTCAGTGGGATCCAGTCAAAGGGCAGCTCCTCTGCCCCTCCTGGAGACAGCAGTGCTGCAAAGTCAGCAGTGAGAGCAAGCTGAAGGGCCACCATGGGAAGGGAATTCGTGACCTTCTGGCCCAGAGCTAGGAGTTTGACCAACTGGGCCATGCCCAAATGAACTCTTAAGTTAATTTTTCACACACTTAACTGAATCAGCAAATCCCAGCTACAGGTAAAAATACCTAAAGCATATTCCCAGGTATATCTTTAGCCTAGCTCAGGAGCAGGTACCTGTCTTAACTTCAGGAATGCTGATGTTCTCAAACTACTGAGAGACAGATGATGCCTTTCACGGGCTGCATTTGGTTCTGAGAGCTTCGTTTACACAGGGATCAGAAAACACTCACACACAGAACAAAAAATCCAGAACCAGTGCCCCCACTTAGTACAGCTGCACACACAACAGGGAGGAAAATAAGAATATTCTTGCACTGTCCTGCTTTGAGAGCTGTCACCCAAAGGTCCCATTGCAGCAGCTGATTTTTCATTATGAAGATGCTATGAAAAACCAAGGTAAATCAAAGCCATGCTATGTACAGCACAGCAGCTACTTGCTGATTAACAATACACCTCAACTATTCTATAAAGAAGTGCCACAAATCCCATCTCTTCATTCCTCGCATGAGCTTCACTTTCTCTGTAGCAGACTCACACTTCGCTTTTTCTTGGCAGGCACCTCATGCAAATCCTGAAGAACCTTTCCACACCACAAATATGAAGAACGTACTGTGGGGAGTACAGAGGCATAAAGTATGATATTTTCAACACTGTTCTTGATCTCTATAAAACCCATCAGTCCCACAAAGACAGCGAATTCTGCTAGAAATACAGTTTTGATGGACTCTCAGGCAAAAAATACAAAGGGCACTGAGTCAAGGTGAACTGAGAAACATGCTAGCAGGAAGACTTGCCAATAAAAGGCACTCCTTCAGAACATAATGTTTTGTCTGACTGCTTTATCAGGAAATCAATTTACAACTGCTTCTTATTACTCTGAACTGAAAATGGCAGGGCTGTAAAGGCTCTAAATCAAGGAGAGGAAGGTAGGCAGAGTAGGGCAGCCCTCATTCACTAAAGGATTAAACATTTTTTGCTTTTGCATTTTAGAGAAATTCAGCCTGTTAGTTTCTTTCCTTGAGGGTATTTTTTGTTTTGATCTTTAGGCAGTACAGTTTTTGCTACCCACAGCTAACATAACCTTGTGCCAGTTAAACAATGCTCTAGAGCAATCTGATCTATACAATGATCTTTTCATGGTCAAATCTCTTCAGACAGAGGTGCCCAAAATTGCTAGCTTAGGACAATCCTGTTGCAGAGGAGAATAAATGTCTTAGATTGCAAAGCAAGGTCTTAGGTAACAAAGCCATCACAGATTTACAGAGAAATTCTGATAGCGCTTTCCAAGGCTTAGTTCAAACCTGCAACATGCACAAGGTAGATTAAAAGATCCAGCTTGGAAGTCAACCTACAAAGCTTGGCTTTAAACATAATTTGAATTGATCTACTTCAAATGTTATCATGGCCCTTTACTCTTGCTTTACTCCAAAATACTTCCAGTTTTACATATGAGTTCTCTCACAAAAGGAAAATGCAATTCACCCTTTCCTTTGCTTCTTCCTCTGCTCCTGCAGCATGTCGTGTTTGTCCATTTTCTCCTGTTACTCACCAGCTCTCAGTTCTCCAGCACAGCCCAATTTCACCATTCAGTTTTCACACACAATTCTGCTTGAACATGGCTTTTGTGTCCTCCAGAACATTTTCTATCATTATCTGTTACAGACAGAGGCAGCACAGGGCCCCCGCCCCCGGTGTCCTCCAAAAAATAAGAAACATGCACTTTCCTACTATAGTATCAACCTCTCCCAGAAAGTGCAAGAAAATCCTGGCAAGTTGATTAACAGTGGTTGACAATTCCAGGTAATCCCAAGTCCACATAAATCGCTCTATTGGTCCCAACTTTTTTCCTCACTGTCATCATGTAAAAATTTATCTCTTCTTGGGAGATTTAATATCAATCTGTTCTATTGTCAACAAGGTTTCCTGTTAAGCCTCACAGGCATTTCTTCAGCAGGTTTTCATCTGCTTTCCCAGTAGCAACACTGAAAGGCTCACTCACCTCCTTGTGGGAATCCTTATGTGCTTCCAGCGTTTTCATGATAGTCAACTCCGCATAGTTCTTAAACCTTGCTGGCTGGTTCCGTAGGATCTCTCTCAGGACTCGCAGTGCCAGGGCTCTTATTGAATGCTGAGTCAAGAAAAATTCGTATTAGAAAAGGTCACTTCTCAAAATCGTAGTTAGAAGTAAATTCTCATGGCTCCCTACGCCACCAGAAGTCTTACTTTACTCTATGAGCTCCAGTGGAGTGAGCAGTGTAATCAAAGTAACAAAGTCAGAACTGGTTTCCTTGCTTGGTCTTGCACAAAAATCCACATGAAATGACTGTTCCCACAGATACAATAAAAAATCAAATTGACTTGACTTCATTAAATTCCAGATTCTTTTGGTAACGAAGTACAAATTTGTACCCACAGCAGCATGTCTGCATTACATTTATCGACAAAGAAGGTCAGACCATATTTTTGCCCTTCCTCTTTTGCTTAGCTTTGTAGATATTAAACTGGGCTTCATCCATGCCACAAAGCCATCTCTCATGTACTAATGCAGTACAATCAACTCTTCCTGTAACTCCTATGGAAATTACTTCCAAGAACTTATTGTAGTCAACACTGACCTACATCTTAATCTTTTATATCAAAAGGTCGTTAGCAGAAGGGATTTGTAACACCTGCTTCACTTCCATAACTTACATTAAGTTTCTGATCTGTGGCCACTCCGAAGAGCTTCTATCATTTCAGGAGATGGATGCTTACTTTATTCTATACTGTCTTTAAAACATGTATTTTGCTATTCATCTGCAAAATTCATGCAGTAGCACAATTCACATGTACTTAGACAAAACCACCATTCTGATAAATGCATGATAATGTTATGATTAAACATGTAGAACCAGAGCAGCTCGTGCTTATACTATGAACAATGACTTGAGAAAATGTCAGCCATCTACCCTGCTACAGAATTACAATCCCTATGGTAATGATGTAATTTTTTTTAATACTTCAAAACATGATCCCCTGTAAAAGTAGCTTATTCTTGATGACATTTTTGTAAGGGACAGAGGCCCATTCAGTGAGATCTAATACCCTGTGTTTTTAAACCAAACAGACAAAAAGAAATTAATTTCTTCTAGAATGCCTTTATCCTTCTTTCTGGGAATGGGTATAATACAGTTAAGAGCTTGTAACTTCATCCTAACTCAGAAGGGAACAACCATTGAAATTTTGATAGTTTTTGTGCTAAATTAGAAGATAGCTTCTTTTCTGAGTCTAGTTCAATTTCATAGTTATTTATTAGTAATGCTCTGGAGGGAAAGGGAAAACTAGTACACTTCAGAGTAGCTTAAAACTCATCACACAGTGAAAACTAGAGTTGTCAACCTTCAAAAGAAAAAGCAAGCAGTGCAGCATCACTGATGAGTAGCAGGTTTCATTTAAACTAGTGTGGAGGAACTATCACCCCAGATGAAGCAATGTACAATACACTTAAGACAAAAATCTACATCTCACATCTTTGTCTCCAAGCGTTTCCAGCAGCAGGAGCAGAATGGTTTTGAAATGCTCTTCCCAAACTCCGAGATTATCCTCCCTTGTGATCTTTAGCAACTCCAGGAGAGCTCCTTTCCGCTCCTCCACCCGCTCATTGTGGTTGGAAAGCTCTTTCAGAAGATCAGCCACCAAATCCGAATGGTCAATGGGTCCTTCTAGGACAAATGGCAGCAAATCATTTGGAGAAAGGGGGAACAGATCAAAGATGCCAAGATTACTGACCCTCTACAGAACAAAGTGTATGAAACAAGGGGCCCCCCAAAAAATGCATCAAATTCCCAGTGGCCTCAGTCAAGCAGGCAAGACACTCTGACTAACCCACAATAACCAGAGTTCATAACACAGCTCATGAATCTGCACGTGGCTTGTAACGAACCAGGAAGAGATGACGACTGGATTTCTTCCAGTTCCAACAATTACTTCTACAAGATGAGAACTGCCGTGTTTTTTTCCCAGACACACACACACCCAAAACCAGTGGTCACATGTATGACCTTTAGATCAAAAGTACAGTGACTCATCAGTGTACTGCAAAAGAATTAAGCTGAGGTGTAGCACCACTAAAATGAAGTAAAACACTCAGTAACAACAAGCTATTGAGTGAGACATTCCAGTCATAAAGAGGGAAAGGTCCCAAAATAGTGCCCCTAAAGATGCATGTAGACGCTTATGGGACTGATTTAAGGGAAACTTCAGGCAAACAAAAATCAAAACTGCGGAATAACATTTTCTCAGTAGTCACAGATGAGGTTCTGCTGGGACATGAAGACAAAGGGTATTTCATACCAAGCCTCAACTCAGATGCAAAGTAATACCCAACACATGCACAGGCAGGCACATATCTGAGAGCACTACCCATACGCAAATATACCAGAAAGGGAGCAAGCTGTCTGCAGTTTTATGAGGGAGCTGATACAAACCATCCCGAAGCTGGTCCATGTCATCATCAAACACTGCTTCCTTCAGGGCAGTCTTGTCGTACGTGTTAATTGTGTCAGCATAAGGATAGGGGTTATATTCCCGAGCACGTGGCCCTGAAAAGGCGCGGGGAGGCTGCGTGTTCAGCAGGGAGGTTTTGTTATCCAGAGCCATCCTTCCACCTTCCACAATGTCACTGCCTCCACGGACATCTCCGGTAGGGAGAGCAAGGCCACCATCTCGAGACACCTGGGGGATCAAAGAGAGGGAAAAGATGTGAGACTACCCAAATTCTGTGGGAGATGTCGGCTTTTTGGAGGTCACCCACCAACAGGAAGAGGCACAGAATCATTTACGTGTATTATTTATACGTAATACTTACATAACGGATTACTACCTCTTTTATGTAACTACAACTGTTCAAAAATCCCTCATGATCACAGGGCAGGATGCTATGCTAAAATTCCTAAATATAAGTTAAAATCTCTAAAATTGCACAAACTGGCAAAGATCATAAGCTCTGGAACTGGACTAATTTGCTAAGAAAGGATCATTGTTTAAGATTCCCATAAATTTTGAAGGCTGCGTATTTAATTAAAACAAAAGGCACTACACATGGGAGACAATTCTGTAACCACTCATGCAGCATAAGATACTACACAAGCTGTGCACTTGGAGTGATTACAGGTCCTAAGCCTGTGAGGGAAACCATCCATGCATTTTAAGAGCTAACATTTCCCATTACAGACCTGACAACATGCACATCCCTGAGCCATGCTGAGCCCGAGGGACACTACCCCTGTCTGCAGCCTGCACGGGACTCCAAGAGGAGCCCAGTGAGCACAGTTCATAGGAGGTCAGACTTCAAAGAGAGCAAGGGACCACATTAGTGGAACCCCTAATAAAGGTATAAGAAGTTAACAGCCAATAAGCAGAAGATGCTTCTAAGAATACAGCAGGAATAACTGGATTTTGCACACTAACAATCCACAGCCAGGTTTGATCATAATGTTTTAAAATTTTATCTATCTGGGGACATAAACAAAACTAGTACTTACAATGTCGCAATCTTTCTTTCCATCGCGTTTGATTGGCTCATTCAGGTCCTCTTGACTACGGAAACTAAACTTTTCAATCGCTTCTGTGACTCCACGAAGAGAGCTGTAGATTTCATCAGAATTTAGGTTCTCCGTGTCATAATCCAGCATACTAAAGACCAAACGTATATGAAATGTTACAAATGAAATTGGAATTAGCTTCTGAGCATTAACAAAAACAAGTCAGAGACAGATGGTTTGGCGTACCCTTTCTAACAGTGACTTGTAACAAAACACGGATGGAATCAAAGCAGAGTTCGGGACTGAGTCATTCCTCAAGAGGGGTTAAATCTACGAGAAGCTCCACTGAAATCAGTGGTGTTACACTGCTGTAAGTGAGGGGAAACCAGGTACACTGTTTCTTACATTGCATAGCAATGAGAGTGCTAAGCTTCTGTAAGGCAAAAAATCCTACCCCCAGCATGGTAGTGCTGTAATTTAAAAAGGAACATAAAATCAATCACTATGAGAACTGAAAGAGTTGTTACAGCTGGTAGAAATGAAATCAATGAAATTTAATAATATATGAAACTGTGACAGATTTAAATGGAAAATGTATCTTGACATAAACCACAGTCTAACATGGCCCACTTTATTCATAAAGTAGTAAAACCAAAACCACTTGCACAATGCCTTAGTAAAACTTGTATTTTACTCCTGAGCCTAAGTTTGGGAATTTTCTTACTCAAATCTGATGTTTTCTTGCTGTCTGCCTGTTCATCTGAAATTTTTCAGCAGCATAAAGCCACAAAAATTTTGGGATTCCTTGAGGAGCTATCCAAAATTAAGTTCCATGATAAAATGCCATGCATGCAAGGGCAGATGATTAAATTAAAAGTTGTGGCTAAAGAGGAGCTTCTACAAGCTTGAAGAAATTAAAAAGACATTATTGGTAGGGCTTTGGTCTATCTAGGAGAAGTTGAGTTTTTATGACAATCAGTTTTCCAAGAGAAATTTCAATTAATGGACCCAGTAACAGAGAACAATTTCTCTGGTGGAGTCTCAGATCTTAGTAGAGCCAGAAGCAAACAGATCGAATCAGACATTTACATCACGTTGTTTGTCAACAAATAGCAAGAAGTGGCTCCCTATAGTGGTGAATTACTATTTCTTAACAGTTTGGGAAGGATGACAGGATGGACTTGGAGGTGGATGGCTGAACAAAGAGTTGTGTTCCTCTTCCACAAAATAAAAATTGTTGGGGCAGGGGGATCAAAAGAGAAAATCCCTTCTGAATCCTGGGTACACAACTACTGTTTTCAATAGAACTAAAAGTAGGATATTAAATACCTAGAACCACTTTTTTTTTCTGGAAGAAACTTGGGAACTTCAGACAGAGGATACAACAGGTGCCGCCCAATTCCTTCGGGATTAACACACTGAAAATAGCCATAATCCCTGGCTCCCAAGCAACGCGCTCGCACTACACTCACAAAGCACCAGCACCATGTACTCTGGCAAAGAAACCAAAGAACAACTCCCCAACTTGAAAGAGCGTGGGACAGGTCAGGGAGAAAAGAGAAACCACTTAAACAACAAACCAAGATCAGGAAACAAAAGTTCTTCATGAACCTAGAGAAGTAAAAGTATTTAGGGTTTTTCAGACAGCTGAACAACACTAATGCGCTGTGATAGTTTTCCAGACAGAAGGGAAGGTAGTTTTTCTTTAAAAGTATCAGGCAGGAAAAGGAAAATCTTTGTTTCATATGATCTCAAAAATACACGCTTTGAGCTCAAGCACATTTAATTAGTTGATCTTAAAGGGTTCTTCATACAAATACACAGAAGTGAGCAATGAAACCACCATTCCAGAAGGTATAGATGTGACTGTACCTGTGTGCTCACACCACCTTACCAAAGGTCACACAATTACATCCATGGTAAAAAAAAAGGAGAAATAATTACAAATATACTGGCACTAAATCTGCTGCTGAAATCATCACTTCTTTCCTCAGAGATGAATTTTGCCCTACACTGTTAACAAAGTACAGACCCTTCAATGTTAAAGGACTAAGGCAATTTCTCAACAGAGTCACCAATCTGATGCATTTCTCAAAGCACAAACCCACATTTTAATAAAAATCTAAAGAATCCAGAGATTTTTTATGTCAAGACTGAGCCTGTGTAGGAGATAACATTATGGCTGTGTTCTACATGAATGAAAATTCTACATGTGAACACACATGTCTATTGACAGTATGTGCACTGGAATACTTCACAGACAACACAACGTGGGGAATAAAAATAAAACGGAACTACACTCACCTTTCAGGACAAAAAAAAAAAAAGGCACAAAAGGAAAAAAAAAATTATGACCCATGCAGAAAACTAAAGGAAAGGCACAGGATGAATAAGAAGTGAGTAGAGATGAGAAGTGTTTACGGATGTCACAACATTATTTTCCATCTTCTGCTGCACAAAATCAATGCAGCTGTCTACAAGTTTATCAAGATACAATTTGGCAGTTTTCCAGTCTGGCATGAAATACATTTTACTTCCATAAACTGTTATTCTGTTTTCAATCCAAACTGTGTGTAAGTAATCCACAGTTTAGTGTCTTCAAGCAGTACACAGTAACTCACTTCCTTGCACTTTCAGGCTCTGGGCTGGAATATATGCCAAATAATTCCAAAACTTGATGTCAGATAATAAAAGGCAGAAAAAACTTTCTCAACTAGTTTTACTCCAAAATTCAACATGGATCTCCTCCACATATATCTTAGTCTCCTAGAAGACTCAGAACATTAATTTAAAATTTTAATTCGGCAGGTACTCACAGAGGTATCAACTATTGTATTCTATTTTCTCTCTCACATGTCAGAGGTTCTCAAATTTTAAGCCCTCAAAGAAAAATTTCTTTGCTTTTCCTTCAACAGTTTTTCATTAGGAACTTCCTGTTTCAAGGAAAAACTATATATTAGTCCTTCCTCAGGTAACAGGTATATTTAAGTCAGGAGAAACCGCATTTATAGATACTCTGTTGTCAAGGTATAAACTTTAAAAAAGTCAAGGAATTTTCAGAGAGGTCTGACAAATTAAATTTGTATTGAGAAAGTTTTTTTGATTAAAATCAGTATACTGCTTTAGTCCAGTAAACTGATCCAAGATCTGTATGCAGATTGGAAAAAAAAGTGAGGGCACAGGAAAAGGAACAAATGTCAAAATTAGAGATTGATAACCTCTAAATTTTGTAGTAAGAACAATTTCAAATTCAATACTACAAATTTCCAATATGTTCCACAGTCACACTATGCAAGCAGCTGTTAAAATGATAAAGCTTTGATGTGAAGTCACTCCTGAGCTCTATCTGCCATTTAAAAATACTCATGTGCACAGTGTAGCCAAATTGAAAGATCCTGCCCATCGTATCATAATCCAACCAGTGCCTGCCAAAAGTGCTCAGCAACTGTGTTCTGTGTTGGAAACCAACTGTGAAGCACCTCCCTGCCACCTTCCTGAATGGGTGTAAGAGTCTGAAAAAATCCACTTTTCTTTTTTCACCTCTTACATGCTGCATCTTCCCCAAGCAGCGAGCAAGCAGCTACCCATCACCTCCGCTCTCTGAAAGCTGTCATCATCTCTTTTCAAACCAAAGCCTCTGGAAGTCCCACATTTGAACAGATCCCACAGTGTGAAAGGTAAATAATACTGTGACACCTCAGACAAGTTGGTTTAACAGGTAGCTTGTTACCTGGGAGAGTAAGAGCGTCTGAAAGTCTTGTGGGAAGGAGCAGTGGGGATGGAGTTAGGCTGAGAAAGGGGAGGGGGGTGCTTCGACAGCCCATCTGCACTCCAACCCCAGAGCCGACTGCCGTGATCAGAGGAGAAACAAAAGAGAGAAAAAACAGAGAAAGGAGAGGGAGGAAAAACAAAAAAAGAAACTATAATCTGAGTGGCTTAGTGCTGTCATGCTGCCTTGGAGAGAGAAAAAAAATTAATAGAAACAAAATTAAACAAGAATACTCCGTTGAGCCTCACAAGCCATTGTTTTGGCCTTTATTATTCATTTCCATTTTTATTCCTAACATAATGATATGATTCACAAAAAACCAGTCCCTGCTTGTACTAACCAGTAGATTTTACAAATGGATATAGTCTCTATAAACAACTCTAATAATGTTCTACATAACCAATTCCTGACCACGCATCTGTATTCAAACTCTAAGCAGGTGTTTCTAAGCAAAAGGATTTCCCTGGAAGAAAGGAAAATTGGAGTTTATTTTTTTATCAGACACCTGAAGGTACCTTATGAAGTTTGTCTCCTGGTGCTTCTATGAGAGCCTGCAATCAGGCCCTAAATAATCAGCAAATCTTTAGAGGGCTTTAGATCTGATCCTATTTCATCAGATCCAAACTCAACCCAAATATGCAGCAAGTGAAAGTCAGTCTAGAGTATAATCATATCATGTAAATTGGGGACTTAGCTCATGTCCCAGCAGACAAAACTGGAAAGACTGGGTAAAACCAGTCTCTGAGTTGATTCAGATATCTTCTTAAACTTCCACAAGCCTCTCTGGGTTATTGTTTGATGTGGTGCCTTTGGGTCAAGGCATCCATCCCTGTGTCAATTTGTCTAACCTCTGCTTTTGTTCTGCTCTGTTTATGGTACATGGATTTTCAAAATCACCTTCTAAATGAAAATATAGATGCTTGAGCTGATGGAGTATTCACGACACTACTTTGTTTCTATTACACAGCACAGTGTCTTGCAATGTTGTATTTTTATATACGCAAGGGAAAGATATTGTAAGATCAGAAGTGGCAAACAAGTCAAGAATTGCTCCAGTGCAAACAGCAGCAGAATTGAAAATTCCTCTGAAGAGTAGTGTCAAGAAATTTACTCCTTAAATAGCAACCAAAACCCATAACTATTGCATGCCACTATTATTATGGAAATACCCCAGACTCCCAGACTGTTGATCAGAAGTCTCACAGCTCAGGTCTCACCTACCTGCAAACAGGCCCCCAAACAATGCAGGTTTGTCCTTATTGTATAAAGTGGGTGGCTTGATTTTAATTCTGTTTCCATGCCTTGACTTGCTAAACATAATATTGAAAGTATCAAATTTTATTTTTAATGGTATTTTCTGTTATCAGTGAAAAAGCAACCACGTAAACTTACATAGCCAAATAAAATCATTAGCCTTTTATTTGATGCATTTCCTCTAGAGATCTTTGAAGACTAAATAGATTTGGGGTTTTTTTGGTGTTTTTTTGTTTGTTTTTAATAACCAGAACTACACAGGTTTCTAGACTAATAATAATGGCAGAAACCACATGGCAAATGTATTCATTTGATATTCCTTCAAATATTCCTACAGAACTCTAGGTGAAATTTCCCAACCTGAATGTAACACTTGAGTTTACAGACATTCATTCACCATTCAGAACAGTACTCTCACACCAAAGGACTTCACAACTTAGTGTTTTCCTTTTTGTCATACAGCATCATTTATTAAATCTCAGATGGTTTATGTCCAGCACCACCTCAAGTCATTCATCTGTGAATTGCCTAGGAAGCATTCTTTTCTCTCAGTCTGAAGTCTGGGGTTTTTTTCCTATTATTTTCAGTCTTCCCAAGTACCCTTCCCTGCTTTTCTTCTCCTCAGAAAGCACCTCTTTCTTCCATAACTCCTCTCACAAAAACTAAAACTGCCAAGGGAAAAAAAAAAAAGGCAGGTACAAATGCAGAAGTAACTCACAGATGTAGCGGAAGTGTTATAGTGATCATGAAGCAGAACTGGAGGGAGGAAAGGCAGGCAGGAGAAAGGACTCTGTCCAAGGCCCTGAAGGCATATTACCCTCTGAAGACACTAACATCAGGGCATACTTAGCAGATGTTATCACCTGAATAGGCAAATTAGCTGTTTGCAGAGTTCAGTTCAACCAAAACATTCAAAATCTATCCAAAGAGCCCAATACACCTCAAAAAAATCAGTCATCTGGAATACATGCATAATACAGTTAGTTTGTATCAATAAAGCCCTGATGATTAATACTGGGAATATTGTTCACAAACCATTAGTAAAATGGGAGAGCAGTTATGCTTAGTAGCTTTTTTGTACTCCTACAGGAGGACCCAAACATCCTTTCTACATATATCTTAGCCCCAAAGACAGGTAAGTCTCTAGATAAGACTTTAATCTGTGCATCAAGAAAAAAAAAAATCAAAGGAAAGTATAACCTTCAAAACCGAAGCTGTCATTAAGAACTGGAGGTAATCCTTCCACTGACTGCACTCAGGCTGCCTGTACAAGACATAGGCAGGGACAAGGTAAGCAGGGCCAGCACATGGAGCACCCCAGGAAGCAACAGGCATACACAACCTCACTACAAACCTTTGGCAATGGGCCACATGAAAATGGAAAGCCAAGCCTAGTTTTGGACGAGGGCTACACAAAGAAACTGGGAATCTTTATCCTCTTACAATGCTGTCGGAATGACCTGGGTGTGTTTATGTTTCAAGTTTGTAGAGAGAAAAGTGACATTTTACCCCACTGATGAATAGTAAATGACAGGCATTTGTAATGGGAACAAGCCACTGCAGCAGCTATACCAAAAAATGCTATACTACAGTGTACCCTATTTCCCTTAATCTGTCAGCATATCTTCCAAAGCCTGTTTCCTAAAAGAAGGACAACCAGAGCTAATTCTCTCTTGTAAGCCAGGATCGTGGTCAAACTGTGCTACATAAGACATTTTCAAGAAGGATGCAGTCCACAGAGCATCAGAAGGTACTGCCCCTGATTTGCAGCACTTGCTGCCATTTTTACAAACGGTAAAAATCTGCAGCTCTTGTTACTCCTCAGAGGTTGCTCACCAAAAAAGCAGAACTTCTCCCCTCAATATTTTAAAGGGCTTTTACAGCAGCTTCCTCCTTCACCTGTCATTGAAGAGTAACTTAAACATCAGTCTTGAATAACTAAATCCAGCAAGGAAGCAGGACACACTTCTTGAAAAGACACCTAAATTTTTGATTCAACATCTCCAAGAACTCAACAGAACACTGCAGGAATAATTGCTTTCTAAAGAAAATTCCCAGTTCACTGCATCCATGGCAGTTTTGGTCTTGACTTAATGTCAAAATGCTCTGGAATTACATGCCCTCTCTATTCCTTGAGAATAAATGACAAAGGCTAAAAAACCCTCCACTTCCTAAACCCGAAATGCTAGAAAACAACACCAACAATCTGCACTGAATGCTTTAATCAATATTTTCATATCAAGAGGTGAGAAGAATGCAAAGACTAATTGAAAAGCAGTGAGTGAAGTGGTAAAACACAGTTGTGTCCCAATGGCAAAACCCAAAAAGCATGGCAAATGATTGTGGAATTATAAAATAAGTGCCACATACAAACATGGCTAACAAAGCCACAATGTAACCACAAGGAGACACATCTCAGTTAATAATTTCCCATGACAGAAATCAGCAGGGCAACAATGCTCAAACTAGTTAAAAAGGAAGCAACATAGTCGAAAACCATTCCCTTGAAACTCTACCACTTTATTTCTTCATGAAACCTTTGTGGAAAAACTCATAATAGGCAACTTGACTTTTGCTTGCAAACTCTTCTTTTAGTTCTGGATTACAGCATATTTAGGGGTCACAAAGATGTATTTAGATATACAAAATTTTCTAAGAAAACCCCATGTGCTCCTATGCTGCTGGAATTAGCTACTCATTAAAGGCTAAAGGCCTGTACTTTTCCTGACACATAGAAACTCACCCACATGTCTAAGCATCCCTCCAGAGTTTTGCAAGTCACAACCAGGGCAGATCAAAATATTTCAGTGTAAATTACTATACTGGACTGAGAACTGAAGTCCTCACCCAACATGTTTCCTTCTGTCTCTTCCAAGACAAAAGCAAGCAACCTCCCATGGAGAGGGCAGGCAGATAAGAGCAGCAGCTTTTAAGCTTTCCTAGCATGAATCAGCTTGTCCAGATAACAACTTAATACTTTTCTCCAATATTTCTACACTCCCAGAACATACTGTTTAAATTGTCATCTCCTCTGCTCTAAGTTTTTGTGGTGCAAAATATCTACATTCCCAAAATCCAAGAGTCCATTCTGGCTCAATAAAAGATTTTGGACCAATATAATCTAGGGTAGCATCTGCAGCTTCAGCAAAACAAGTGGCAGCAACAGACCACTGCCCAAAAGATCAGGCCACTACTCTGCTGGTGAGCAGCCAAGTGAGCAGTTTGAGGGCTATTCAGCACTGAAACGCAGTCACCACCTCTGCTTGTCCTGCATCCTCACAAAGAATAAGAGGGGAACAGGAGATGCAGTAATTCTCTCAGCAGCACAAGCACTGTATTACAGTCAGAGGAATTACTGATCACAAGTGCACACCTGAAAAATAGACACAGTGTGAAACCCCTGACCTGAAATTCAGTCTATCTTTTGCGATACAGGCAACCTCAACAAGATTTTATTTCTAATGCTGCCATTTAATATTACTTTCATTGACCCCACAAATGTACTTCTGGAGAAGGCCTAGTTATGAAAGAAAATTAGTATTATAAGAAAAGACATTGAGATTACACAGATAACATGAGGTCTGGAATACTGAAGTCAGTCACCAACCATGTACTATCATGTTCAAGCCATGTTTCTTTGGAGCAACCTACTGTAACCTTTTCTATCTTGTTTTTGCTTTCAAAGTGAGTCATATTCTGCAAATGCACGCTCGGTGTTGAAATCCTTTAATATTTTGCAAGTGGTTTAATTAGCCTGCCACATTACCTTGGAGACAGTCCACCATGGGAACAGTTGGTAGGTGAAGTTAAGGGGCTGGTTCTGCTGCTGGAGTGCCGGGAAGGAGTCCGACCAAGGGTATTGCTGGGGGAACCCTGACACAGAGGAGGGAAGACAAGGATTAGCAACATGTTGCAATGCACAGGCAGGAGTACAACAACAGGTCCAAACGCTGCCTTTGTTTGCTCTAGACAAGCTCAGTGCAGTGTTTATTTTGCCTCTTGACCTAAAAAAACTGCAGCCATGGTTCATGTAGTCATTAATATTTTCCTGAAGGCTACCACTCTGAGGATAAAGGAAATATATGTGCATTTCTCTACAATCCACAGTACCTGAAATTTTAACTACACAACGTGTAGAGCCTGAAAATATTGCCAGAGGAATGGTTCGTCAATCCAGCAGGCTATCCAGCTTCTCCGAAACGATTTGCCAGGCTCCAAAATATGCAGACCATTATCCTGGCAATTTAACATTTTAATTACACAGCTATTTTCCACATTGTCTGAAGCACTCTGATTATGCTTGTTACGAGCATAAGTAAGCAGTCTAACTTATCATTTTTCCACTGGCCTGCACAATCATTTATACCACAGCAAAGCGAGTAGAAATTGCTCTCAATTCTGACACTCTTCACACAAAAAGTACTAGAGAATCCAGACCATCTGCCTGGAAGCCTAATGCTGCAGTTCTAGCTTACACAGAGGTCTACTTTTCCTTACTGAAGTGCAAAGATAGGGAAGGAGTGCTCTGGGAGGGGAAAGAAACTTCTTACTTAAATTCTCTACTAACATATTCCTTCAGAAAAATAAAAATATGTAAGAGCTTAATTGTAAAGCAAAACGTGAGGTAAAAGGCATAGACTGAGATGACCTTGTAGGTCATGTTAGAGGTCCTGCAAGCTTCTTCATAGACAATACATCTGTTATTAAACTGATTTCAATAATAGTCAAAAGCTCAGAAAATCTGTGGTATCATGATCTGTTTTAGTCAAAAGTCATTACTGGCAGGATTTTCAAAAGCACCACTAACTTGAAAGCACAAACCCTACCAATTTGAATGCACTTCTCAGTCCTTTTTTAATCTCTTCTGGTTGTGACTATATTAAATTTTAAAATAACTGAGTTTCTTATTTTAATGGTCCCTATAAAAGTAACATCAAACAAAAGCCTCTGTTGCCATATTGCTTCAAGACAACAGTTACAGATAATTCAAACTACTGAACATCTGCAACAGCTTATCAATGAGCTGCTGCCTTTGGGGCTCTGCTGTTTGCAAGGACAAGGGCTTCTCACCACACTGGTGTTACTGGAGTTCTTGAGGTGGTTGTGCAGGAGCTTGGTAGCACCATCCTGGAATGTTTTTGGCAAGGCACCAAGTAACATGGTAAACTCAGGAGTGTTCAATTCAAAGAGAGAAATCAGGACTATTTGTGCTGCCTGAAACGAAGAAGAAAGAAGAGACCATCAGTTTTTTTTCTTTGAAAAGAACATGCATTCTGTCAGTAATGATCCTTACAGAAGCAGGATGTGTGTTTCATTCAAGATCAAGACTTCTATACCAGACAAATTCTTGAAATGTTCTCTGTGATGTATCATAAGGTATTAGTAAAACCTACAGTCAATTTTTCAGTTCTTAGAGTTTACAATATATTTTTGCATTTATTTCATTAATTTCTTAGATGTGAAATGTACATCTATTCACAGCTAATGAGAAACTCTTACCTGTCCAGCACATACTTCAATTGAACAAGTTACTGCAAAAACTTACTGAAAACAAATAAAACCAGAAACTCAGGTGAGTATGAAGGATCTAGGACTGCAATTTGTCATTTCCATGCTTTTTATTTAAGTGCGAATGGGACTACTTCTCTTTCCAACCAATCTCTCTGCTTCCTAAGGATCTGACAAAGTTTGTTTCATCAGACCATTCTCTTCTCCTTGCAAGTCTCAAACCACTGAGGTTGTTTCAGCAACAGAAGACTCCATCTGAAGTGGAAGATCTACTAAGATGGCAAGAGCCACCGTTCTCTCAACCATGGACAGGCTAAACCCCACCAGATTTCCTAAATTTAATAAGCAAAACCAGGGTACCACTGAAACAATTGAGAATTTTACCATTAATTTTATTAGACAGGGTTTGCTTTATCTGCCTCACAGAAATGCTGCCAGAACAGGATCTCCACTAATCCATTAGCAAACATACAGCTCTGCATATCCTGAACTAAGACAATGGAATCAAATGGGAATGGAAGCGGAATAAATCACAGTGTGCATTTCTGCAAGAGTAATTAACATCACATGTTCCTAACTAGACTTCCCCAGCAGCATCCAACCTGGGTGGATTGCACCAATTCTTTTCTTCCCCCCACCCCATGCCTTTACTTAGAAAGTATACAAAAATACAAGCACTGATTAAAAGAACAATAAAAATGAAGAAACGATGAAGGACCTCTGGTAGTGGCTTGGGCTCACAAAGTAAGCAGCAAAAACTACACATGCTCTTATTTTGGAACAGCATACCAGCATCCACATAGGCTTAGGAAGAGCCAACACTTGTGTTTGACCCTTCCAGGAACTTTCTAAAACCTCCTAAAAATAAAGAAGAACTTTGAAGAGGGTATAAATGTAATTCCCTGCTGTGGGCATAAATGTGCATCATTGTTCTCATCAATTTAAAGGAGTTTTTAATAAGTAATGTGCTTATAACGTTGCAATAATTAAGTGTATCTACAGTTCCCTGTGGAGCAGAATTCTTTAACAGACGATGAACTTGGGTACACAAGAACCCTTTCAGAGTGGAGGGGAATCAAAGTACCTCATTGTTTCAGTGTGCAAACTGCAATTCAGGCTATACTGTTCCTTCTGCTATCAGCAGCAACTAACACAGCTTTGCATATAAAAACATTTTCCATCCATGAAAGTTTGGTAAGTATCATCCTTTTCGTATGGCCAACAAAGAAACCAAGGCACAGAACACTCAATGGGCTTCCAAGGACTGCAGCAAAGAACAGGTCTTCAGACTTCATTCCAGATGGATCATGCTGCCTCCTGACAAAACTCTCACTGACTTGAACAGAAACACAATATGATATTCACTCCATACTAAAGATCTCAGGATGAAAGAAGTGGGGAGATAATTTTCCCCATGGCTTTCTTAACTCCATATCCTCCACATCCTCCTCTGATCTGAAGTTTTGGGCAACTCTGCCATGAAGCCTGCCTGGTATCCAAAAAGGATGTGTATTTCTGTCCATTTTGATCCAAGAACTTTTAAGTTCTCACCAGCATATTTTCTGTAATAAAAATATTACTGCAAACAAGAGATCTCGGAACAACGAACAGCGTGTTGAACTGAATGCAAAGTGACAAGTCATGCCAAAGCACATTCCCGTTGTGAATAGCATGCGTATCCTTGGTTAGCAGTGGGCATGCAGATCCTCTGTGTCAGAACAAGCAGGTCTCACATTCATTGAGATAAAAAAACAAAATAAATAATATAAAGAAATAAATAAAACCCACAAACATCCCTCCTCCCCCAAGAAAAATCCATAAAAACTGATCATCAAGCTTCCCAGATTGAGAGATTGCTCAGACTAGAATATCTGGAGAGATCAACTGATATGTCAGGGGCTGCCCAAGGTGGGAAATGATTTCAGATACCTTTGTCCACATACCTCCCACTGATGGGTTAGAAATGAAGTCCATCCTTGGAGATCTCCTAAGTAAACAGGTGCAAGAGCACACGCGCTCTATGATGGGACATTCTGGAGGTACCTTTCTTGTATGCCAGAGATGTTCAAGATGCATCTCACAGATCTGAGCAAAACCTTCACCAAAGCTCCACCAGGGAGTTTATGATCCTGTGGCTTCACTTTGAAGCACAGAGTTACCTAACTGGGACAGTTTAATCCTAACACACAAACAATAATAGCACTATCCTGCAGGAGTAACTGAGAAAAGTTTCAGATATCACCAGTCACTTCAATTTTGTTCCACTTTTGTGTTTTGGCTTTAATAAAACCAGAACTGTGCTCACCCTCCCTCTTGGCACAAAATACAGCTTGCATTTAGGAGTGTCTGCCAGTATTCTGCGTACCCAGTGTGCTTCAGCAGCTTTGCTGTCGCCTGCAAATAGTCCCTGGGCTTTAAATGAAGTGCTGAACAGCAGCTCCCAATGCTCACAATCTTCTGTGGCCTCAAAGAGAGCAGACTTAGAGTCTATGCTTTTTGACATAAAGCCAAGCACTTCTACATCCTGGGAGCGGTGCTCCAGTAACAGTCTCAAAGCATCACTGGAGTTACATGGGTGAACCCTGTCTGTGTTCTTTCTAAATAGTCCTCACCTATCCAACTGCACTTACAGGTTTATTTCAGGCAAAAGCCATTATTTGAAAGTGCAGGCATAAATTCCTACTTAATATTTAACAGAAAAAGGTCTTGGTCCCTGCTACCATAAGATCAACACTGTTACTACTGGCCTCAAAAGCTGGAAGGCACATCCTAGCTTGAAATCACATTTATAACACGTTTCAAGTTTCATTACTGCAATACTTCCCAATTCCAATACAGTAAATTTTATTTCAGTAATGAAGAGCATCAGGAGCAGCATTTCTGAATCTGTTTCAATAGTTAGATCTGGCACACTTGATAATCCTCTAAGTTTCGTTTATTTAGCATACATTTATCTAATCAAAGGACATATTTTACAGATAATGTTTCTGAGAGTTTTAAATCTGTGGATTTTCAGCTTGTGAAATATTTCCATAATCTCTGAATCACTGGTCATCTTCTGAAAATCTTGTTTTATTAGAATTCTGATGGAGTTGATATATTTAACAAGCAATAAAAAACTTATTTCTGTACATTATACAAACATTCTCCATGCAACACTCATGCTTGATGATATGTAGTCTGAATAAAGAGTAATATCTGAATTTTCCCTTGCCTTTGTGTCCCTGTACCATTAGTAGGGAACACTAATCCATCTCCTTTCAGTGACATATAACGTAGACCCTACAGATTATGTAATCTTAATGAAGCCATTCTCTGCTGGCTTGAGCTGGAGAAACTCCAGTGACTTCAGAGCCTGACTGTGCTAGAGAGGGGGTCTGGCTCTGTGTCAGGCTCTTCAATCATTTGCGAAGGATTGCTTATGTAACTTCATTATTTTCCTTATCACAATGCAGGGAGGGATAGAGTTCCACAAGCCCGTAGCAGCTCCCAGAGTTCCACACTTAGGTCAGTACAATTCATGTTGTCCAACAGTGTCGGCTGCTAAAGGGACACACAAATGCTTTAGCAACACTTTTTTTTTTTAGTTTCACCTGGACAGTGGATGATAGCCAGATTTGTCAAAATATGTAACCCTTGCAACTTGGTTGAATTATAATAAAGTCTTTTTGAAATGGTTAGGGCTTATTAAGCAAAAAGTTCAAGGGTAACTGGAAAAATCCAATGATTTTAGAAAGGAAATGTGGTCAGTGACCTAAGGTTAATACAAGTGCCTTATGATTGCTGCTGCTGGTCCAGTGAACCAAGCAGAAAAAGCAGCTGCCTGAGCTATGAAATTTCCAAGTTACTCAAACATCTGTTGCCAATGGGTTCCCAACACTGGCAGTCCCATAAAAGGAGAGGACTTCGTACCCTGATCCTTTATGAGAACCACAACAAAAGAGCAAAGCACACCAAAGCCAAAAATTACTTCAGACAGACACACTTTTTTCAGGCTTCCAGTCCAGGTCTCTTTACACAGCTAGACAGTTGAGTTGAGACTCCAAACACAATTAGTGTGATTAGTGCACAAGGTTTTCAGTCTACCTGTTTACATTTCTCTTCCAAGTTTCCTTCACCAGGCCCTGAGGAGGCTGTAGTTGTCCTAGCTGGCAAATCCTCACCCACCCAACTATGCATCGTCTGGGTTTGACAAACAGGAAAGTTGATATTATTTAAAGAAAACACAGATTTCAACCCAATCATCTAAACAGTACACATTATCTTTTTGCAGAAGGGTTTTAGTCAGTTTCTTGCTCAATTTCAAGTAACAAAAAGCATTATTTGATATCATCAGGAGAGCATTCCTTTCAGCAGAGGGCAGCACTGGCTCAAAATTAAATTCAGCCACAATTTTCAGGCTTACAGATCATCCCTTAGTTCTCCTATAAGGCTTTGCTTTGGCAACTTCCTGGTGGCCTCCATAACCACCCAAAAACCTCCACTGAGGTGCAGAGCCCATGGAGTGCTGAACTGAGGTGGCACTTGCATCTGGCCAGCCAGGAGTAGGGGAACAGGTGCCTCCCTGCACCTACCCTTGCAGACATCTTTAAGTTCAGAAGAAGAAACAGTCAAAAACTTATAAACTCCTGTCTCCAGTCTGGGCATCGGTCAAATGGACCAACACTGCCTACATATGCCTTATATCATGTGATCTGCCTGGGGAA